TCGGCGGTAATTCCAATGAGAACTTTGAAGACCGAAGTGGAAGGAAAACCCGCGGCCAGCCTTAAAAGGCGCGCACTCAAGGTCCTCGACCGCCACGACGACCATCAGATCCGGCGTCCCGTCCAAATCAATGCCCCGCCGGGATATATATTAAAAGGAAAATATGATAGAATAAAACTATTTAGAAAACGCCACCACCGATCGGACACCGCCACTAACAAAACCGCGGGGGATAGCCCCACGGCCCTCAACCCCATCGGCTTTCTCCCCGACGCTCCGCTGCCGCGGCGTCGACGCTAGCCGGCCTCGATCCCCGAACCTTCGTAGCAGTAGTTCGATGTCGTAACCTATAGGGCTAAGTCCAAGCCTGAGACCAATATCCACAAAGTGTCATACAAGGCGGCGCGGCGCTGCGCTCATAGCCAGGAAAATTGGTCTGAGCCTCACCTCTACCTACAACCGTGCAGACCTCAGTCAAACGTACCAGTAAAACGAAAACATCCTTAATTCCTGCTTAATAAAAAATAAGTAAATGTCAACAATATAAAAAAAAACGACCGACGCCCCTCGTCGGCCTTACGATCAACAGCAGAAAAGAATCACGCGCGCTTTAATCCTGCGCGCCCACGCACTATGTACTCTAGTCAACCATTAGCCATATAAACTGCCGTGACTCGTGCGGCATACTCAAACTTCTTTAATCTATTTTCTGTCACTTGCAAAAAAAAACAGGGCGGATACCCTTGTAAGGGTATTCACACCGACAGCTTACCGGACCATATTAAGCGACGTCCCCGTCGCTTCGCCAAATCAGAAAGCTATAAATCCATCCACATTCTAAATGCTGACGAAACAGGAGCCAATCCGATTAGCCGACAAACACAGGGTAGGGGCCTCCATCAATCCATGCCTTCACAACTATATGCTGCCAGGTTTCTAACCTGAGCCTCTCGATCTGTCAGAAATTAGGATACTGGCAGTATAAGTTTCAAAGACCTATCCAATCGTCCTCTCCCCGGTCCTAGACAACCTTCTGCTTTTCGTTGGGTGTCCCCAGTCCTGGCAAAAACTAGGGACGCGGGCCTTAATCGAGACCTTTGGAAGGCACTCTCGTCTTCCTCCTCAAAAATTTCTCGCAATCAAATACATGCAAGTATTTATGTATACTTAATATTCGCTCAACTCTTTCTGCAGTCTAGTACAGAAAGGCTAGGTCTCCACCTCGGCCCACCATGGCCTGGTTGATCGGACCAGGACCATGGCCCACCGCATTGTTATTTAACGGCAGTACCTTCGTTGGTTACGCATCGATAAGTTTCTTCCTGGTAAGCACTCAATCAGGATTTCGCCCAAAAAAATTCTCAATCTTCATTATCCTGCGGAGTAATTTCACTGGGGCGGGCACCCCGCCCTTAAACTCTTACCCTCCGGTCCCGCAGCCAGGTTGCGCCGACTAGCAGCCATCTAATGGGGTTATGCCCTAGAGGTACTAACTTCTTTTCCATTAGCTTGACCTTTCTTCAATATGTCTCAGAATTAGCACTAGTGGTTAGACGAGGGCGTCGCAAAACAAAATCATTGGCCCACTGCGCAATCACGCAGGGGTCTGAAGGCATTTACCAGCCCTTCCACAATAGGCATGACATCCTTCGCACGCTCACAAACAAAATCACCGCTAGGTCCACCAGGCCGTGACCCTTGACTTGATCAGAGTCAGCAACCACTTACTCTGAGACATCTTTTGCCCTGCACTCATTGCGACTTTCTCAATCATTCCAANTTTCTCAATCATTCCAAACAAAAGTGACTCTTTTCGTCAGACTTTTATCACCCATTAAACAACTCGCCATGCCATAAATCAGTTTACTTACCTCTAAGGGCGAGTCTTCCAACCATAGACCATTCCCCTTCTCCAAAAATCCAAGGGGCTCTCATCATAAACAAAACACCCCCTCTTCCAAAAATCACGAGGGGTCTCGCCATAAAACCAAACTTCCCCTCCTCAAAACTCAAGGGGGTCTCATCATAACACACAACATCCTAAAACATCCCCTTCCCAAAAATCCAAAACAAAACATCACTGAGGGACCATCTTATGGGTCCTCATCACAACTTAAACAATCAATAATTAACATGGTAAGCTTTTTGAGCCTCCCTCACAACTTTTCACAAACAGGCTGCACTCCCTCCCCTTATACTCTGCCCTATCAGCTGTCCGTGGGCAGGTCGCACAAGTATACCGAGGAGTAGACAGTTTTGCGTACAATCATATTCACTGTACCTATGGCAAAATAAGATGTTTTTCACACGTTGTCCACACAAATTCATCATACATCAGAGTACAACCACACATGTGAGAGTGACAAGTGATCGTCACATAAATGAATGGTCCCTGAAATAAAGTCTCATCATAATATACACTAAGGGAATAAAAATGCCTCACAGAAAAAAATGTTTCCAAATCATAGCTCACTCCACTCCAGCCACCCCAAACCCATACTGACAACTACCCCTAAATTACATGTCAGATCTGTCTCTCAAAGGCCAGGGCGTAGGCCACCTAAATATGTACATGCCTCATCTAAACCACCCTGACCCTCAAAACCCCAACTCAGTAAAAACACAAAAGTTCAAATCTACACTAGTAGCAATCATCGAAAAGATCCTCTAAGTCTAAGAGGGTATCACACAGACCCTAAGCTGATGCCTCACAAGATACTCGCCCACCTATATAGACAAACCGGCACTATCTCCACAACTCCTCCTGGTTTTGCCTATATAACTGAGTCCTAAGTCCATCTGCGGACTTCTTTACTATCCTACCCTGTCTATCATACATCTTACCCCCTGCCTCTGAGACCTTCCCTGCTGCCTTATCCTCAAGGAACTCGAGACAGTCCAGAGCATAATGCACGCTCCTCTTGCAGTAGAAACATAGCTGATCAACCTTCCTCTTGAACTTCTTCTTCCTAGGCTGAGGAGGTGGTGATGAAGGAGATTCTCGCCCTGCTGCTCCGAGGAGCTGCGGTACTAACGACCTCCTGCTGCTCTGTCCCAGGAACCGGTCCCCCAGACCCAGATCTGGTAGCCCAAGATCCTAGTCTGCTCCTCAAATCTCCTGTCGCTGGGATGTACTCAGGCGTGTCCAACCTCTGAGGTCTCCTCTCGAGTGTCTCTCCTGGCGCTGCCATGGGCTGCTCCTCAATCTCGTCTGGTCCATACTTAGGCGTGCCCATCCTCTGGAGTCTGCCCTCGATGGCACCCTCCGCCTCAATCCCCATCTCTCTCTCAAGAGGCTCCTCTATCCTCTGCTCAGGTGAAAACAAACTCACCTCCTCCTACATAGTATGCACCGCCTCAAGGAGCACGCCCATGGACCCCTCTGCTGAGCCCTGTGCCGTCTCACTGCTAGATGGTGGCAGCCCCTCCTCTACTGCCAAAGGTACGACTGGGCCCGCCGCTGCTATCGGCAGTGTCGCGAGCTCGGTAGGGGCTTTGAACTCGAATGCCTCTCTCCCCGCCTGTCTCTGGGCTCTCGCTTCCTCTGGCTCTAGGATAACCCTCCCCATAGGTGGCTCCTGGCGAGGCTCTGCTGCAGATGGCTGTCCTGGCTGCCTCTGCTCTCCCTGCCTGCTGCTCTCTGGCATGTCCACCCTTCCCTGGGTTTGCTGCCTCAGGCTCTCGATGATAGCTGCCTGGCTGGCCACCAATGCCCCGAGTTCCTGAATTTCCATCTCCATAGCCTCCAGGCGTACTCCATGGCTTGCTTCCTTCATCTTCTTCCCTGTCAGATCGCCCTCCAATAACAAGTGCCGGTCAAAATTGGTCTTAGCCAGGAACTTGATTTTACGATCTAACCTCTCTTCCGCCTTCCTGACCACCCCAAACCCGACTCTGACTGGCGATGGAAGTTCCTCTCCTCTCTGCTCCCAGAAGTCTCTCCACATCTCAGGAATCTCCGGGGCCCTAGCTGGCGCGCTGGGTGGCTGACCTGGGAGTGCTCCTGCTGCCTCCGATCTCTGCCTCTCCTGCTGCTGCTCCGGAAGCTCCCCCGCTGCCTCCAACCTCTGCCTCTCCTGCCATATCTCATCTATCCCTCTGGTTTTTCTCGCCCTCTTTTCTTCAGCCGTCTCTCCAGCTGGCGCCCTTTCCCTCGTGCGGAGGTCGATCCTCTTCGGGATTTCTACTTCCATCTCTTTCTCAGGTTGGTACGGCTCTTGGCGCGGCTCTGCAGATGCTGTCTCCTCCAGGTCTGGATGCTCCAGGGCATAAGCTGCTAGGTGCCTATCAATCAGGGTCAAGGCTTCCCTCCTTACAACTGCCATTTCTCTCCTCCTGCCGGCTCTCCCCTCTGGCGATGGAGCCCTCTCTGATGAAGGAAGTGGGACCTCCTCTCTCCGCAATCTCTCCTCTGCCTGACGAGTGCTCCCTGGTGCATCCCCGAGTCTCAAACCCACCGCTGACGCCTGTGGGGGCGTATCCTCTCCAACCTCTATCACTTCCTTCCCTGCACGTCTCCCCACGTCGCCCATCCTGCTCTCTCGCTGAGTACCCTGCGCCTCCTCTCGTGGCACCTCCTCTCGTGGCACCTCCTCTCGTGGTACCTCCTCACGTGGCACCTCCTCTCGTGGCACCTCCTCTTGTGGTACCTCCTCTCGTGGCACCCCTTCTACTCTCTCTTCATGCTTCTCATCCTGAGGCGACGCTCTCCACTGAGAGATATCCAGATGCGTCTCTAACTCCCTCAACGGCCCTTCAGACACTGGCGGCTCCTCCCGTGTGTGTGCTGGTGACCTCCTCAATCCACCCTCAATAAAACGATGGAACTCCACTAGTCCCAACCCACACTCAGGGTATGCCCCTCGCTCCTCAACCTCTGGCTCCCGCTCCGGCTCCTCCTCTCTCCTGGCTAGGGCCTTCTGTCCTCCCCGAGACGGTCTCACCTCCCTGGGCTCAGGGTTCCTCGACCTCTGACTCCTCTGACGTCTCTCGACTCTGGGCTGGGGGGGCTCTGGCCGTCGAAAGGCCTCTCTTAGATGTGCCCTGCAACTCTCCCAGTCCCGGGCCATGTCTCTGATTTGGCTAGCCAGCGGCCTTTCCGCCTTCCTGGTCCAAAGTGGTAGCGTCCTCGCCCACTCATCTCTCGGTATACCCTGCCCCTGCATGAACCACTCGAAAGCAAGGATGAAGTCTGCCATGTTTCCGATCTCTAGACGGATCAGCCTGCCATCTGGTCCCACAGGCGAGGGTCGCAGCTCCTGCATCCTCCACTCCACCTCTGATCTTGTCGTCGCCTCTCTACGGATCCGCGCGACGGGCTCCTCGAATCTGCCGACTCCCCTCAGTCCCTCGATTGTTTGGGCCATGGTCCAGCCCATACGCCTCGCATGATCCCAAAAGTTGTCCAGGAATAGCTCGATGTCCCCATCATCGTATACCGGAGTACTCTCTCGATGGCGAGGCCCATGTCACTCATATCCTCCTGATGCTCCCAACGGCCTCCGAGGCGGCCGTGTCCCCCTCCCTCCTCTTGGCATGGCTGTCTTCGTAAAGTCAGACCTGCACAACAGGCGAAGGAGACAACAGACACACATTGGGGTAAGCAAAACAGGTGATAATCAAGCCAACTTAGACCAGACCACACTCACACAGCATACATCCTACCTAGCCTACACACCCTGCTACGTCTATTTTAAAGGCAGTCAGGTCGTCTCTCTTACCTCTTCTCTCGCCACGAATTTCTTCAGTTGCGTTCCAGATACCCAATCCTTCCACTCAGTCCCATTTAGCTCCTCAATCTGATACGCTCCGAAGTCTCCAACCCGTACGATCCGGTAGGGACCTAACCACCTCTTATCGAGTTTCCTGGACCATTGCTCTCCAGTGATGAATCGTAGAGAAGCACGACATCTCCAACTTCCAAGGGTATTTTCCTCACCCGCGCAGATTGATCCCATCGAGCCTTATCGTCCATACGACTTCTCGCCACCTGGTCAGACGCCTCCTGGATCCTTTCTTCTATCGCTTCTATCTACCGCGCCCGAATACCGAGCAATTCTTCAAATGACAGGTTAACTTCCAGATCATGGCGCCTCTATGTCTTAAGAAAGCTCTCGATAGGGAAGGTGGTGTGCCTTCCATACCACAGTGTCGCCGGTGCGTACTTGGTGGATCTTTTTATTGTAATGTTCTCTACAAAGAACGCCGCCCTTAGGTATCTTGGCCRTTGATTAGGCCTACCTTCGGTCCACTTAGCCAGGAGACTCGTAATGGTACTATGTCCTCTCTCTACGGGAGCATTTGCCTGGGGGTGCGCGGCCGTGGTGTAGTTGGTTGCTACACCATACCTTGATAACAATTCTTGCACCTCCTGGCAGGTAAACTCCGATCCCCTGTCCATTATGAATTCCCTGACGAAAGGGTAACGCAGGTAATATTCCTCGATGCAGCTCACTAAGACTAACCCGGTCTTGGTGCGAATAGCACGCCCGTCTACGAACCCAGACAGGTTATCGCGCGCATCGAAGATATAGTTATAGCCCTGATCCCCAGGTGGCATAAAAAGCAGATCTAGATGCACTACGGCCCCCACCTCTCGCTCTGACCTTGGATGCAGCGACTCTTCTTGCCTTAAACGGGATCTCTCTTGGCAGGGCACGCAGGATCGACAGAATTTTTCGACCATGTCCATCATTCCATCCCAATAGTACAGCTCACTTATCTTGGCATACGTGGCTTGTACCCCTCAATGCCCTCCTGCAATGCCATCGTGAAGCGCTTCTATGACGTCGATCTGACGATTCCTACCGCAGACGACCCCCCTGGGATTCCCCACTTTTCTTCTCACGAAAAGGTGGTCGTCTCGCACTAAGTAGTGCTGCAGCATCCTCTGAGCCCTATCGCTTGCATCCCTTAGCCGCACTTCACATGACAGAAGAAGCCCCAGTTCTAGGTAGATCCCGTCGTACTCCTCTGCACGAAAAGCCTCCTTAATCTCCCCCTCTTCGAACTCGTCGTCCTGGCTCTCGGGCACTTTGTCCACATTTCCTGTCGAGTTCAACGAGCCTGACTGGTCGAGGCCTTCCTGCAATAACGTGTTGACGAGGAGATACATTCCTCCCATCAGGTCCTCATGCCGTTCTACCTGGCCAGGTCCTTCCTCAATCGTTCTCATGTCCTCCACCAGGCTATGCGAGCTGGCCAGCGCTAGCTCCATCATCCACTGAACATCCTTACCGCCCCAGGGATCTTCTTCATCAAAGGGCTTAAGGACTAGCTCATTCCTCCTTTCATACCCTTTCGGCGCTTGCCAGATAGGATAGCCTACACAGCTGGGCACTCGCGGCGACCATTTGTTGATATGAAGACGAACATCTTCTTCCTGATCCAGAAATCCATCAACTGGGGGCGTATTCTCCACCGCCTCCCCTTCCTGTTTATCCCAGTTGATCCGACTCAATCTGTCCGCCCAGTTCTTACTACCAGGAATCCGTTTCAATTCAAAATTGAACATCCAGATGTACGTCAGCCATCTGGCAACCGTCGGATCCGATGGAACGTAATTCCTTAGAGAGTAGGTCAGGGCGGTCGGATCCACTCTCGAAATAAACCTCCTGCCGAAGATATAGTTCCGGAAGATTTGCAGAAAGTGGAGGACAGCAAGGGTCTCCCTCTTGAACTGAGAGTAGTTCCTCTCCGTCGTACAGAGAGTCCGGCTCTCAAATCGCAAGGGCCTTTCCTTTCCTTCCATGTCTGCCTGAATTAGAACTCCCCCTAAGGCAGTCGGTCCCGCATCCGTTTCGACGATTAAGGGTCGCGTCTCTGTGGCGTCATAATCTGGCGCTCCTAATACCAACCCTCCTTCTCGAAATTCCTTTTTCATTTTTGCCACCACCTCTTCTTGTTCCTCACCCCATACCCATTCCTGATCCTGACGGACTAACTTCCTCAGGTGTTCAGTCTTAGCGGCAAAGTTCTTGACGAAGGCCCTCCAAAATCCACACGTACCAAGGAAGCTCCT